AGAATTCTTCGATGGACGTCTGCAAATACAGTAGAAACCCGCATGAAAGAACCTGTTTTTATAAGAAATTTAATTTTTCAAACCCTATAATTAAGAACCTTCAAAAGGCTAAAATTTCGAAAGGGTTTTTAGAATGGTATCTTTACACCCTATTCACTTTGGCAAATTAAACCAGCTCAGAGTAAATTAGGTTATGGTATGTTGCATTCTAATTGGACAATCTAACAACACGAATAAATTTGATTGGTTGAAATTTACATGAAAAACAAAGCTGGTATAAGTGTGTCTGTTAGAATTCTTGCGGTGGAAAACATTGTTAATATGTGCAAGGCCTGTACGTATATAAGAACATTGTTAAGAACCTTTTAGACTGGAATTTCGAATAGCAGCCTGTTAACTAAGAACCTATTCAGGCTGCTAGAAAAAACCTAGGTTCTTCTATGCAGGTTTCTACTGTACTAAATATTGACTCTTCATTTCAGCTCTGCGCTAAACATTTCAAGTTTCTAATTCATAGATAGTTCAAAACTCGAAAGGGGCATAGGAACCTACACGGAGGCTGGCAGGAACAACAAATTTTACATTACCGGTAAATTAGTCTGGTCTCAAGTACTGACCAGCACTTGGCCTCGAAACTGGCTTCGAAAGGTTGAACTCCTATATCTTTTTGGTAACGTGTTATTTGAGTGACGCCTGTTTAGAGGAAGCACGCGCAAACATGTTAATATATTTAGCGTTCATTTGTACGAAAGAAAAGGTTACTCTTTGTTTACAAGGTAATAAGAGGTCGCCTTTAAAATAAGCGGTCCCGTTTCTTTAGACAAAACCTATAGAAATCGCATAAGAGAACTAACCAGAAATGGACATGAACCGTTTTCTTGTATGTTCGCCATGTAAAATTTTCATCGGATAAGGTGACGCCGCCTTGTGTCGTGCCAAATACCCAACGCGGAGTGCAATTAATAATGTCTTTGTCATATAATTTTGCGGTTATTTAAAGTCTTAAAGTGAATGGCCAGAGCTTCAAAACTTGATGCTTATGATAACCATCAGTTCGCTTCAATTAGGGCATGCGCACACAAAAATTTTGATCAAAAAATTTTGTTGGTTGATGATCAGATTCAGTTCTATTTTTGGCATCACATGAAACGCTTGGTGGTCTCCACTTTTAACTTGAGTTCTCAGCAATTTTGCGGTGCCAGACTTCAAATCTTGATACGAGAAAATGCCCCCCCCCCTTGTGTGTGTGATTTTAAAAAGATTGTCAGTTCACCAAAGGATATCAGTGACCAAAGTAAGACTACTCAAGGATGCCAACAGAAACCTTTTCCCATCTCCGAAAAGCTAATACGTTTCTCAAAAGCAGTTACCACATTCCAAATCCCTGTTTCATTGACATCGAAACGAAAAAGTCTTATGTCATTCATAAGTTCGTTACCATTCTTCCCTCCAATCACTAGCCTGTGAAACTGAATCGAATAACACAGGCTAATACCATTCAGTTCCAGTAGTTTCAAGACACTCTCCAATTGCAAACCAAGATCTGTATTTTAGTTCCGAGAGAAGCTTCCCAAAATCGATCTTTAATTGAAAAATTTGAAAATTATTCACTAGTCCCAAACTTAATTCAAAAGGAAAACGCTGTTTCTTTACACTGAATTTCTAATAGTAATAAAACTTGGTATAATCCTACCTCGAGTAATAAATTTGCAGATTAAAATTATGCTTATTGTATTTCATAACACTTGCCATTCAGAAAATAATTATATTGGAAATTTGCTTATATTAAGACTGACTTAATTGAATTATCATTACATTTCCTTTCTGAAATTAGGTATACTGTGTTCCACTTTATACAACAATAAGAGTAAAACGGAAAAGTGTCCCGACAACAAAGGGCTGAGTTCAAGTAAGACTGAGGAAATTTATGCCAACAGATATTCACAATATATTGAATTTATAATGTTCTGACAACAAACAAACAGCTAAGAACGTAGCTAGGTGGTGTCTGATACGTAACAGGGTCCGCGCCAAAGAGGAGCTTGGGAGCCACGCCCCCACTTTTCTTGCTAGCTATAAGTATTAAATCTATCTTTCAAGTATTAAATAGGTAGCCCCCTTTCTGCCTCCACTCACTTTAGAATCGGCGGCGCAGGCCCTGCGTACAGTAGACCAGGGCGGTCGCGACATCGAGAGTGAAGCTCGGAGTAGCGACTTGAAATCCTCCTGCTCTAAACACAAAAGCGCGTAAACCTCGGATAATATAGTCATCAAGCTCTCTGCCATACATTGACAAAACAGTAATCTATAAATAAGTTACCTATGGTAGCTTGGGTAAACATATAGAAAAAACGACCTAAAATATGGGAGGTATTGATCTGATAAGCACCATGGGGGTGGTCGTCCCTCCCTGCACTCGCATAATTTACCGTGGCTCATTTTCTTGGCGCTTCTCTCCTTTACAGTTTGAGTGCGGGCGTCGTTATCTTTTTAAACTACAGAGAAGAAGGCGAGCTTGCAACTCAGAAAACCTAAAAACAACCCCAAGGTAAAAGCATCTCTTTTCTGATTCTATCACTCATCAAAAAGCAATAAAATATTAGCCGACAAGAGAATGTTTTCAATCAGTTCTTGAAAGATAGTCTTTTAGAAAAGATTTCAAATGCCATAAATTGTAAGCTTTAATTCCCTAAGAGGATCTTTTAGTCGCTGTCTTAAATAAAAACAACAAGATCTTTTTGTCACAGTTTGTACACAATGCAGCTAGCGTAAACACGCGAAAAGAACAAAAGAACGCGAGACTGCTTAATTTAGTACACAACAACAGAAATGCTGGAACATTATGCAGAAAAAGGATTCCACTGGCAGGCACCGCGGAGCAGGACATCAGCTTCAGCGAAATTTTTTGCGACAAATTCAAAATATTTAGAGGTAAAACACAATTAAAGCCTCTTTTTATTTGGTCCTAGCCTCACCCCCTTACGTTTTTAGACCCCCCTTTTTTCTCAACGCTCCAAAGTGCCTGACAGGGTTCACTAAAACGGTTTTCTGGTCACTAAACGGTTTTCTGGTTTCTCCTACTATCCTCCCTTTTAAAGCAAAGTTCTCCCTTGCTTTGAGGCCATTGTATTCTACACCATTTAGGTAATAATGTTTGCAATTTAGCTTAAAAATGTAAGGGTAAATCAAATCTTGATAACACCTAATATCAAAATAATATGTGGGAGTTACGAACGCCCAAAGATCGCAAAGGTCGCCAAACCCCGAGAACCTTTAAAAAAGTACAACTGTATTATGGAAGCAAAAGAACACAAATATCCTGCATAATTCTATCAGCCATGCTGGCTTCTTACTATCGACGTTTTATCAGCTTGATGGGCTCCATAATGCCTGGGCAGTAGAAAAAACTAAAACGATTCTGTCAGTTTTTGGCTAAGAGTTCTGGGTGTTCAGGTTGCATAATTTGTTCTTCCGTGCAGCTTATTTTACGAAAAGGCATTGAAAAGAGGCAGCAGATGCTAGATATTACCAGTATTTGGTAGTTTGCTTTTATGCGAAGAAGCATACGAATAAATGCAACAGCAAAACTGGAAGGCAACCTTGTAGCTAGCTGTATTTATACGTCTGTGGTTTCCTGATGTTTACCAACAAAGCAAACCTGCGTGGGTGCTACTCGTTTCTAAAAAAACTAACCCAAAAGAAGGGCTGAAGCCTTGAGTCAACCACTTGTGTTTTTTTATGATTAATTGAAATCTGAGAACAAAAAGCCAGTTTCTCATATATGGGGCCGCGATACGATCGTCAAAGTGGAGAGGCCTCAGAACTGGATAAGATTGGCATACAAATTTTTGCTAGGAATGAAAGCATACCTGACAAAAAAGAGCGAGGGCCATGCATGCACCACCTCCCCTCTCCACACGCTAGGCGCGACAAAAACTTTGAAAAGCTTGAATCTTGTTTTTGATACTGCTAACACTTGCAAAACAACACTTGAATCTTGAATCTACACTTGCAAGGTACAGATTTAACCATTTAATGAAAAACCAAGTATTACTGAGGTCTGGTTGTGCATGATGCATCTTCATTCTTTGGAACCAAAATCAAACGACCACGATCTTATGGTGCATGCGTATGTTCTTTGCTGCCGTGCAGATGGCATCGAGCAGCTTATCATGTAGGGCCATAAAGCAGACTCGATGCATAAAACAAAAGCTGTCGGGTAGCATTGCCCCCAAATTGATAACTTACAAACACAGATATCAAATTACATCGGCTGGGTTCTAATGGCTGGATGGGTATTGCATAAAGACTTTTTCAAAAGAACAAATTTCAGCATCTGTCTTGGATGAACGCTTTTGACGTACGTAATTTTCTGGCATCAATTACATGCTTTTGAAAAATAAAATAAAATTGAAGCTACTACTGTGGAACGAACTTTCAAACTTCACCTATTGTCCGAAATTTCCAAAGAAATTTTATTAGGAATTGAAAAAGAATTGCGTTGTTTAAAATGAACCTCCAGAGTATTTTGTAATATTTCTACTATTTGGTTGAAAGTAAACAAAGAATTTTACCTGCAATGAAGTCCATAATAATAAGATATTGATCTACTTGCTTCAAGCAAAATTTATCCACACCACAACAAGATAAGATATGAAAATCAATTGGCATGATATACGAAATGATAATATGAATTTTGATTGAACAGAAACAGTATTTTGCTTAGCATGACTCAAATTCTACAGAGACATTATTTTGCTCAGAAGTATCTATAAAAGAATATTTTTAGATTGATGCACGTGTCTTTCACGTAAGGTGTGTGTAGGGGCTCCGTTATATCAACAGAGGCAACAATGTCGTGTAAGCGGGACGAAACATAGATATGCGTTTGAGTTTTCCTTTTGAGAAATCAGATCAGACAAATGCCTAGATAGCTTACTAGGAAGATAGTTGATAATTGAATAAAAAAACGGACAAAATTACAAGATCAATATACTCACCCTTGACCATTTTATTGAATTCGGTGAATCGATTGTATTGAGGAACACAGGAACTGCCATCCACATTGCATGGGCTCAGAATTATTAGCCAAATCCCGGTTAATATCCAGCAAACGTTCGCCATTTGTGGTCGGCAAAAGTCCATACTTAACTGCTTCCTGTGACAGAATTAACAGTGCTTTAGGCTACGATTATTTCGTTACCAGCATTGAACAAATATTTTCAATCCAATGCCAACAGTGGTCAAAGAATTTTACTGAATCCGAGAATCAGAGCTGTCCTTTTGACTTTTTTGTCTTCAGTTGAAATGAATACAGCGATATGTGCTTTGATTTCTACAAAAATTTATTTAACGTACTTCTGTAATTTTCGTCATAAACTGAAGACAAACATTGCGAACAGCCCTCTTGATCGCAAGTCGCGGCTGACAACGTATTCCCCTTGCTAGCAGCTTTATTGTTGACGATTTCTATTGAATCCAATGGTTCTTTCTTTGCTTACAAAGGACAGCAAGGGGGTTTGAAGACAGAGCAGGTTATTCACAAAGCTCAAGTGAATCATATCAGCACAAAGAGCTATAAAGCAGAAGTTGGCAGCATTTCATGTAAAGAAACCTTTCCCCTTATCATCAAAGCCAGTTTCCTAACTGGACAGTGCGATCTGAATATGACACTATCTATCTAGCTGTGTAGTGGACCCAATAAAAAGCATCCAATCAACGAACCCAATTTAGAGGTTTGGCAGCGTGGCGGGACAGAGAAGGGCGGCGCAAAATCTGGCGGCGCAAAATCTGATGGCGCAAAATCTGGCGGCGCAAAATCTGGTGGCGCAAAATCTCACGGCGCAAAATCTCGCGGCGTAAGAAGAGGCGTGGCCAAAATGGCATTACTTTGCAAAAACATTTCACCTCGATTTTCAGTCAAGTCTATTTCGCCGCAAGATGCCTTTACATAACATTTCATCTTTTTCAAAGGGGCTTTTTGTCTTTTTTCTCTATTTATATCAATTTGTTCTCCGTGGTCACATTTGTTATCTCTTATACCTCGTCAGTTTTTCCCATCTCGTATTTGTTAACAGTACGCATTTTGGAAGTAAAATTCCAGAACATAACACTACACTGATCTATTTTGCTGAGTTTTATTGACGTTGCCGTACCGAATACAAATTGATTGTCCTCGCTCTAGCGTGGATCCCGCCCTGCTCAAGTTGGCAATAAATGTCATTAGCAATTGTCAGGGTGATTATAAGGAGTAGGTCGCATATGCATTTATAGAGTACCGAAGTGTGATGTCATCAAAAATCTATTTTTAGAATTTCTTAAATTTGGCCGCATAATCTGAAAGAATGACATAAAATACCCCTCAGTGTGCAAAATTAGCTAGATATGTTCCAAATTGGGCGACATATGGCCAATGAAAGATTTCAAGTTTGCTAACAGATTACTGTTATTCTGGCCTGGTTCTTAAAATTATGAACCAAGACCAAACTACAGAGGTTTGATGGGACAAGAGCCTGTGCTCAAGTGGCCATATCTCAGCCAATTCGTGATGCCTTTAACTGATTTTGCATATTTAGAGGCACTTCGTGATGCTCTTTCAGGTTCTGGGATCAAAATTTAGAAATTCTAAAAATAAATTTTTATGACGTCATCACTTCAGCTGGACCAGAGAGGAACACTGTAGTGGTTAAACAAATTGGTTTGTATAGAATTTATTTAAGGGAGGGGGGCAATAAGAATGTCTGATAATTCACATGCAAGACACTGTTGTTGGGAAACAGTTCAGGGCTTAGAGAGCTTTGTTGGGAAATAATTGAGCACGTACTTCTCTAGGAACCGCAATGCATGTGCCAAGAATCAAATAATTGTTTAGTGGCGAAATTTCGTTTTATTAACTTATAATAATAGATCTTGAGCCGAGCATTTCTTTCTCAGTCAAAACCAATGTATCTAAGACATATCAAGCACTGGGCTGCTGAAAGATAAGTTTGGAACAACAGTGAAACGGTATTAAATGAAAGTTAAGCTTAATTTTGCTAGGCCATTGTGAGATTTGTCAGGTTCCATCTAATATATTTATTGAAGTAAATTAATGTATACTTGAAACATATATATGTAAACAGTTGAATTTGAAATAAAACTGAACTTAACTGAAAGTACCGAAAATTAATCTTAAATGTCTGGTTTAAATTTGGGTCTTATTTGGCCATCTATGGAAAAAATGTATTAAAGTGTTAGGGCGGAATCATTCTAAACGACTTGAGGATCATTGTAAAGCGAATATTTTCTTTCTTTGATAAGGACACCAAAATTCCTAAGCCCAAACCAATTTGAACATATTCAGCACGTTTTTTTTATTTCTTATAAGAACATGTTGGTGCACATCCCCCCTCCAACATTATTAACGGCCCTATGAAAAGAATTGATGCAACTTCAATTGAATTGACCTTCATGATTGTTCTCAACTAATTGAGCCAAGATATGACATTCCTTGCTTACATAGAACTAGCGCCTGTCTGTTAACTGTTTGCAAAATACCTTCTTTCTAATCCATGGTAACTAATGGGAGCATCACTTCTTTCCAGACACGTTATGTCAGGCATACTTTCTTCTTTTTGTTCCTTAGGATACCTACAAACATCACAAAGCTCTTTCCTCATATGAAGATTCCTCAGTCAACTTCTCTATTTGCGTTTTAGCCCGTTACCTGAAAACCTTACACAGCCATTTTATTCACCAAAGTTTCAAATTCCAGGATGATTCAATAGTGTCGGAAATCAATATGTAAACTTTTTAAATCCATTTTGTGCATCATTTCGGTATTGAAGTTTTACTCAAACATCAAATCTTAGCAATTTAATATTCAAAGAATAGAAAAGTCCTTTTACAATAATATCTAGGGAGATTGCTTGGTGAACCAGGAGAATTACATTAATGTGTTGATATGCAACGACTATCTCTCGTTACAAACAAATAGAGCCTAGAATTAGATCTGGAGGGATGTTTCAAGGTTTGACAAGTTACTGTTCGCTAACGCACTTTATAGATACATGCAAAAAATAACCATTGTTTCATGTCAATGCTCAAGACATTGAAAAATAAGAATTCACCTAGTGAGAGGACAATTGAGGCATATATTCAGAAAGATAATTTCTCGATAGGCGATTGATGAAATCAGATACGATTTTCTCCTTGAGAGCCAATCTGTTTTTGATAGAATGAAGAACCTACAAAAAAGAGTCCAGAGCGGATATAAAATCATTGTGAACGTAAACTGAACATTGCCTTTTCATCCTGGTTATAGCCTGATTTTCGGTATGCTATATTTCATATTTGCTCAGTACTAGAACTCATAAGGATGCCGGTAGAATACTTTGGTCAGGATCTTTCAGTTTCGGTAATCAACAGCCTTAAATAATTTTACCACATTTTTTGATGTTACTATGTAGGCGAACAAGGCTGGCACCATCATTTCAATAACTTATGACAAAACTATCAAGCCAACCTATGACGTTCTATATAGCTCAAGAATGATAACAGGTTTTAGGTAGAAATACTCTTTTTCAAAAAATCAAATAACTTCTTAATTTATGTCCTCCAAGATATCAAACAATAATATTTATTCTCGGTTAACCATGTTTGATAATTCAATCTGCACTCATTGCTCGCCAAAAAGAAAGGATCTCAAGTGGTTGGTTTTGCCTTTCGAAAACAAAAAAAATTCTTATTAAAAAACTGGAATTTAAACAAACATTCGAATCAAGGTAAGCAGTCGATTAAGATGAAAATATTATTAAGTCGCAATGGCGCCATCTTATAAAATTTCAAAATTTCGTTAGGCAAGACCACCGCAGGTACGATTGAGACGAATTGTTACCGTAGAACTGGCTCCTTTAGCGACACAAAGAAAACAGGTTTCCAAAGAACATTATCACGATGCAAAGCACTGATCACAGATAGAATGCTGATTGTTCATTACCTACATACATATATGCCTTACTCTAATAATATATATCCTTCAGAACGCTGATGCTCAAATTTGAAAATCATTTAGGGCATATTAATCAAGTGCAAAAGTTAAACTTGATTTCAACACTTGACTGAGAAGCAAATAGTCCCTCTCGCCTCCAAGTCATATTTTATCAACAGAGAATGAGGAAAAGAAATGATAGAGAAAGAAAGGAAAAAGAAAGAAGGGAAGAAAGAAAATGAGAGCAAAAGAAAGGAAAATGAAAAAATGGAAAAATGAAAACGCAAATAAAGGAACAAGAGGAAACTAAAAGAGGAAAAAGAAATGAGAAAAATGCAATAATGGAAAGGAAAGAAAGAAATAAAACGAAAGGAAAAAAGATGGAAAGGAAAAAAGACAAAACGAAGTTAATAAGGAGAAATTAAAAATGAGAAAAGAAAAGAAAGGAAATGAGAACAAATGAAAGGAAAGGAAAGGGAAGGGAAGGGAAGGGAAGGGAAGGGAAGAGAAGGGAAGGAAAGGGAAGAAAAGGTTTACAATTTACTTTGAAAAGTCACGATCAATTCCTACAATTTGCACTACCTCTTTGAGCTGCAAGTAACGTAGGGCGTTCTTTTAAAATTGAGAAATTTTCAATCAGAAGAAATCTTAATGAAATTCTATTTTTACTTAAAATTCGCTGCAGCGTGCTTAAAGAAAATGTACTGTAATTCAAAATCAGCGCACTTCAAAATTTATCGGCTTTAATGCTTATGTATTTGTAAGCTGGAACGATAAAAGAAAAAACATAATTGATGCCATAGCTTTTGTTGCACCCTTATACCTTTATTTGTCTTTTTGGAAGTCAAAGTAACTGATTTTCTGGACAAACAAAACAGCACAGCGGGCAGCACCACCAGTAGCAGCATGGTCACTAGCAACGATTCATTTTGAAATAACTTTCACTTATTCTCGTCGATAATAAAAATACAACAAAGTGAAGCCGTAGATTTGATTATTTGGTTAAAAATATCACCAAATGTTAAGCAAGACTAGAATTGCTGCAAAACATTATAGAAATAAAGACCTTGGAAGCTGATTCGCCTCAAAGCTGATGCGTATACAAGGCTAAACAAATTTCAACAAGGGTAGAAGCTTGCTTTTTAAGAATTTATTTTTTCTTGTCCATTGGCCTAAGTAATGTTGAGGCCCACTTCATGCTAGATGTTTAAATTAGGCTGCATCATCGCTTGATGGGCACAATTTCCACTCAATTACATGCATTGAACATAAGAAATAGGGGCGTCGCGAAGACGGTATGGGGGTGCGGTGTCCCCCAACATTTTGTTCGTCAGAACATTAAGGAATTTTGTCGGGCAAAAGATGGAATTTTTGTACTCACTCTGTAATCTTTTTGCAAAAATTGTAGCATATTAAAATTTCTGTGTAGTTGAACTTTTAAAGTATGACACTAAAGTGTAAACTTTGAAACAAAAACGCATAACAGTAGCATGTAAGAGTATTTGTCTTTTAACCACACTTGAAGTGTGAGACACGCCCTTTTAGTCGGCAAAAACCACCTCTTGACCCCTCCAAACAATCTTCTTGGCTCCGCCCCTGATAAGAATGTACCATGGGACAATTCACCCTTGCAAGTACAGTCTTGCAAAACTACGAGATCTTACAAAACATCTTTACGGCATTCATGGTGTACCTTGCTTTGGCATTTTACACATGTTTAAAAACAGTTTAGACAAGGAATTTTTCGAATTGTATCTATTCAAAAGAATGAAAATTAAACACAGCAAATTAATTGGATGGTAACATAACGATTAAAACTTATTAAATTATAACTAGAATTTAGAATGAAAATGTTGTCAAAATTCAAATCCAATTTCAGATGAAATGAACCATACTTATTTCTTATAGATATTTGATCAGCTCATTATTAGAAACATTTTCAAAAATTAGCAGCTTCAACTGTACATAATTCCGCCATCAATTTCACAATCTGCCTAAACGGATACATTATTGAATTTAAGCTTAAATGTAATAGAAAATTTTTTTAACATGCTTAAGATACCTTCAAACAATGCAATTGACAGGTATTAATGCTAAATATGCATCCAGCTCCTATGTATTTGCTCAAATATTTTCATTCATTTCTTACTCATTTTTATGTTCGCTCTCTTCTATTGAAGACCAATTCTGTGTAGGAAGGTTTGAAACGCTGAAATGTACTGTTAATAAATACAAAGACATCGGTAGCTTTTGTAGTTGGAAGGGCGCAGTTGGGAAAGGACACAATGTCCAGAAAAAGTTGCACTTTTCCAAAAAAGGAATAATTTTGAATAATGGGCTGGTTATCAGGCTAAAAGAGCCCCTGTTGTCCTTCGTATTCTGAGGTCCCAGGAATGAAGGACCAGAATAAATATTGGCTTGCAAATCAAGTGTTAAATTTAAGGTTTAGTGATTAATATTGTATTACTGATGAACAGCTAACAACCTCTGACTGAAAAGCAAATGTTTCTGGGAATGGCTAGGCTATTACAACATGAGTAGTCTAGCAAACTTTGAAGTAGATTTATGCATTGCTGTATACTGTTAACTTATGCATTACTGTATATTGTTAATTTATGTACACTGTTAATTTATGCATTGCTGTATATTGTATTACTGATGAACAGTTAACACCCTCTGACTGAAAAGCAAATGTTAATGGGAATGGCTAGGCTATGACAGCATAACTAGTCTAGCAAACTTTGAAATAGATTTATGCATTGCTGTATACTGTTAAAGGAGTGAAAATTACTACTGGCTCAAGTAATATTGTGTGAAAATTAAGTCTCAATCTTACACGTGATTATATGTCTATAACCAGTTTAGAATTTAAGCCTCCATTATCTGATGGATATTCTGTCCGTTGTTTGTGTTTAGCATCTGTGGAAATGTTCTGAGGCATGGTATTTTGGTCGAAATTCAGATGACAAACGATGGTACCCATGCCTATATCTCTTGAGATTTTAAGAGCAAAATAAGCCATAGAGCAAAATAATCTGGTTATTGGGTCAGTAGCACAACGTATTGTGTTGGTAGTGCGTAGCTCTAAATGCTTGAAATTCACTTTTCTCCCGATATGTTATTTCATATCCAATTTTATAACAAAAAGCAGGAGCCAATCTAGATAAAGTTTCCTATTACTAAATAAAAAATTTTCAGTGGTAATTTACTAAGGAAGAGAAAATAATTTCTGAGCTTTGCACATTACTGCATGTTAACTTGCTTCAAGGGAAAGAACAGAGTGGTAGGCTTTGCCTATTGCACAATCAAATGAATACTCGAGTTAACTTATTGCAATAATAATCTGATATTTTTGATAGAAAGTTTTGATAATGTTTTCATTCACCAAAGAAGTACCCCAGAAGTTAGAAAGTCTCTTATAGTTAGTAAAGCTCCATAAATTTTTACAACACAGTGTTGTCTAGATCCTTTACTAGTAAGTTTCTTAAAGAAAAATACCTTTGTATGTCTTTACTTGTTTTGAGAATTTCAGTTGGTGTCCCGCACTTTATAATATTATTTAAAAATATATCAATTATTTTCGCACGAATCTTCAAATATTTGAAATATCTGTCAGCTCCGATAACCGCTGATGTTTGGCATCTATATCCAGTGAACATTTGCTAATAAGGAGAAACGATAATAAAGATGTTTTGCACATGTAAAATAAATTGTTGTTTCAGAAATATTGGGAAAAATTGTTGGTTGTTTTTGAGCGACGGAACTAAACAATTTGGCAAATGGAAACGGGTATTTGGATTTAGACCTCGGGTCCTTCCTTAGCTTGTGCATATATGTATCGGTCGGTTGTTTAAAAGACAAAACATTTGTAGAAATTAAATTAGCTGGCCTATAAAGGCATACTAGAAGTTTACACCAAATCAATATTCGCATCCTATCCAATTGATATCTGTACTTAACCCTGTTTTGCCAAACAATTTTCCTTAACTAAAACATCACGCACCTTCAACTATTTCTGAAGGAACGTACCAACCAGGATGCAGACACTGTAATAAAAAACCTAGCACTAAGACATCCAGTAAATTAAAAAACAATTGTACTGATCAAGGGGAGAATCCTTCCACGAAAATCTCGAAAATCTCGAAAATCATTTGAAATTTTTTTTGTATCTTTAATATGTTTTGAATATGTTTAATAAACGACTCTCAAAAATTCAGATTGAAATTAAACATATGACGTTTCTCCAGTTTGTAACAGAATAAGAAAAGTATATAAAAACTTACAGGTTTTAGTGTAAGGTGTTCTTGCCGAAGCAATTTACTATGATTGGATGAGTGGTAGGCTTTTTAGGCTGAAGTACATATTCGAGAGATACAAATCGCATTATCCATTATCTCTGACCAACTTACCATTTCCAGAAATGAATCTTTGTGATTTGGCGATTGGCGGTCTTATTACCATTATAAATATTCAAGATAAATAAATCGCATTAAATTTTATCTGTCACAAGCTTATTGCCTATAGAAGTGATTGCGGGTGTTCCTCTTTTTGTAGCAAACCAAACGGTCTTTCATCAATGGAATCATTCGCCCCTCAGTTTTCAACATAAAATCTGAGAATTCTTCTGACTTCTGCTTTATTTTCAGTAATGAAAGGACCCCCGGTGCTTGGGCAAAAAGAAAAATCGAAAGTTGAAGCACAGGGACGCCTGAGAGGGGGTGCAGGGGACAATTGTCCCCCCTGCTCTTTGGTATGCTGGGCAAGAGGGCCAAATAGCCCTTTTCATAAAAATGCCTTGTTGTAGGTTGTAGGTTGTCTCACTCACTTTGTTGCCAAATGAGTCCTGACTACCTCTCTAGAGCGAAAAAGCTAGCACTCGCACTGCTTACACCCTATTATATGAAGAACAAATTAAGAACAATCCAGCCTTAGATTTTCGAAAAAATTAAGAACAGTCAGCCTAAACTTAAATTTACTGGTTCTACAAAAAAATGAATGTACAGAAACAGAAAGCCAGAGCTTTTCAGAATTTGGAGTGAACAAGCTTTTCAACAGATTGCTACTGAATTTACACTGAATCATTGAAAACGGCATCCAATAGAAAAGGCCAGCTCTATTAACACACCAAGCAGAGCTATGCATAGCTGCCAGTTGTGAAAACTAACACGCTTTTAACAAGCTATTAGTGACCTATATTGATACAATGATGGAAAACAATTTTTATTTTAGTGAGGGAAGAGGGAAGCAATGTTTGGTACAAAACCATCTGATAAAAGCTATAAATTCAGGCTGGTGGTACCTTATTATATCAGGCCA